GAACCTACCCAGTTATGAAATTCTGACCCAGGGTTTTTTTCAGGTTTAAGACCTCTTTGGTACAGGGCTGGGGTAAGGACTGTTCTTGCCTGTTCCATTAAGTAATAATATAAAGTGCTATGGGTCTTTTAGCTATTGTGAAGTTATTCCCTTTTGTTTAGTTTCACAGTCCAAACTAAAAAGTAAAAACAATGACCTTACAGCATGTGAAAGATATTTCAGGTATAACTTACAGATAATTTATTTCAATATTCCAGTAAAACATATTAAGCAGTAATGTAATCTATAAAATTCATTTATTTCAGGGGACCCTCAGGAATTTTCTGATTTAACTCTTGTTTTATTCTGAGGTCCTGGTAGCACAGTGTGATAGTCAGCAGTGATGCTAGCGAGCATGTGAGCAGCACAGCAGCTTCAGCCTCGGGGCTGGACTGTGGCCATGGGATGGGGAAGGCTGGAGTGATTGGACAAGGGTCCCTGCATCACCCAGCAGTGTGAGGGATGTCAGTGAGGGGCTATCTGCTCCTTTCCTCTTCTACAAAACCACTCAGGCAGAGTGACGAGTAATTTCACTCACTTTGTGCTGGTAGAGAGGAGAGCATATGAGGAGGATGCTCAGACCCCATGTTCCCTAGCACAGACCAGCTATGCTTGCTTATTATGTCCATTACTTAGTACTATCTCCAAGGTAAGCTTTGATCCCCACCCAGTGGTTTTCTGCTGCTCCACAGGTTCAGCACAACTGCGTTTCTACCCAGCACATTTTTTGACCAAGCCAGAGCTGCACAGCCTGCAGCAGGTGTTGGTACCTGCTCCCCATGGGAGACACATTTTTCTGCTGTAGACACAGCCTTCAGCTTCTGATCCAGGGGCCAAGGAATCTTTCCACTGACTTTGACAGCTGTTTGGTCAGGCTGCTCTGCACTGCAGCCTTTTCTGTGTTCTTTGTGAGAGCTCTTTGGTCAGCTTTCCCCTCACTTCCACCAGAGCTGGGGCTTGGTGTGTGCAGACGTTTTCCTTTTTTCTGTTGGCTGGGCTGGGGAGTCCTCCCTGCTCATGGTTCTCCATTCACATGTGAGAGCATCACTGCTGATGTGTGCCCTTCTCTAAGGGGATACCAATTTGTCTGTCTGTCTTGTCTGTCTTAATCTGTTCTGCTTAGCTTTCTTTTTGCTTATGTAGTCCTTTGACTCCCACCAGAAAGGGATGGAAGAAGACACGTAAACAAGAGGTGCAATAGATAGACATTCTGATCACATTTGACTTCACTAGGAGCAGGGAGAGCACTATTGAGTAGCTCCAGCATTTTTATTCCTAACAGTTAAAACTTGCCTCAGGGCTTTTCTAGGCTCTTAACATAGAACTTTTTTCTCGTGTTCTTACAAACCTGTGGTGCTCTTTAGATCCATTCTCAGTCTCCTTATGAGGTGGAAACAGTGTCCAGCTGTGCTTCCGGGCTGACTGTACCACATATTTGTGTAGTCTGTAGAGGGAGACTTAAGCACCTGCTTAAGTTTATTCACTTAGTCTTAACAAAGCCTGTAGTGTGACTGAGAGGGTAGGAGTTGAATTGTTCTAATGGGTTGTGAATACTTGATCAGTTTTAGGGTCCTCAGTTTACCTCCAGCAGCAGCAGGGCTGGCTCAGTGTTCATATTAAGAGCTGAGCTGCACCCCATGCTCACTGATTCCTTGGTCGCCTTTGGCACATGAAGCCACCCCTGTAGGTAGTACATAGGCTTTCTGAACCCATGTTTGAAGGGCATTTGAACCTACACCACTTTTTTTTTCTTTATTCTCTTCTCTCTCTCTGCAAGAATAATGTAGGGTCAGTTGGTTGCTTGGTGTTTTTTTTGGGGGGGAGGTTGGGGTTTTTTGTTTCAAAAAGATATCTAGGCCATGCTATGAAGTTCACTTGTTTGAAGCAGTGGGATGGTACATTTACAGCCTAAAATTATAGGATCTGACATGGTCAGTTTTTCATCCTGTTTGGCTAATGCTGACTTTGGGATGTTTCATCACCACACTGTAGAGCTCTGCTGTAGCCGTGGGAGTTAGTGCAGAGACACCCACTGCTTTGGTAGGAGCTGCTTGGATCTCTGGAGCAGAGGCCAGAGGGGATCCACGTAGTTGTGTGTCTTGTTAGGAACTAGGGGTTGCTGGCCTCTGCCCCTGCCCAGCTGCCACATGGAAATTCCCGTGGGGATTCTGCCAGCAAAGGGAACGTGGCCAAGTTTCTGATGCTGGTAGGCTGCACCTCCTTGGTATTACAGTGCACGTACAAGCCTGCACCATGGAGCATTCAGAGGTAGTGTCAATTTTTTAGCTTTCAAATAACTAATGTAATTCATAGTTATTAATGCTTTTTGGAGGAAAAGCTGGTCAGGGAGGTCACAAGTAATCGATGAAAAATGGACAATATGGTGTTAGGAGGTCATGGAGCAATTCCAGCAGTAGAAAAGCACTTTGCTGAATTAAAAAAAAAAAAAAAATCATTCTTACAGCTGCCTCTTGCCTCAGCCTGGAAATTGATTTTGCCAGCTACTTGACCACCTGAGTTAGCTCTGATCTCATCAGATTTAATGCACTATATCCAGTTGGTCTGCACAGTATTAATTTTAAATTTCTAATTACTCCATTTGCCTTTCAGGGCTGGTGATAGGCAGGAATGACTTCCGGAAATCCTTTGACAATTTCAGGCTCCACAGTAAATGCTTTGAATGCAAATTCCACTGCAATTAGCCCATCCAACTTATATTTAATTTTCTCTCTGTAGACATATAGAGGGTAACAGAGCATTGTTTCTTAGGGCAGTGATCCCACATTCCAGCCCTAGACAGTACAGCTGACTACAAAGGAGTTGCTGTGGGTTGGATTGGCCTAGAGTGGGTCACAGTCCTCGAGAAAAGAGTCAGTTTGCTTTCATACAATGATGGGCACAGCTCCAGAGGTCTAGGATGTGGTTCAGAGGAGCTTTGAGAACAGGAATTAGACAGGGATGAGCTCATCACCCTGCACTTCTCCAAACTCTTTGAGCATGCTTGGACTGAAGGTGTCACAAACTTCTTTATCATCTGCTTCTGCTCTGCCTCAGGATGCCATGAGAAAGTAAGCCTTTTACTAAAGAGCATTGTTGAAGTCAATACAGCGGAGGAGGAAAAGCATAAAAATTGTGGCCTTTGGAATTTGGGTTGAAAATTGCGTTGAATGATCACAGAGGATGGCAATGCTCTGTATCTTATCCAATCCACTGTGCCAAGCAGTCCTGCAGGTGGAACAAATAACCCTATGCTAGTTCAGACATCCCATTTGCTCACAGCATCCCCCTTGCCTTCAGCAGGTGTTGGAATATGCAACAAGCGTGCAAAACCAGGTTCTGTGCAACTTTCTCAGTGACTTTCTCCTTCCCCAAAAAACCTCCAATTCCAAATACCCTGATTTTCCTGTCTGTGCTCTGGGACATGCAAGTCCCTGTGAAAAGTGTGACTGATAAGAAAGGCAGGGCAGACTCCAGAAGCTTCGCAGGTGGTGGTGTTTGGAGCTGGGTTTTCCGGTCAGGGCCTCCTCTGACCTGAAGCTCTGCCTTACTGTGGGAATTAACAGAGCAGCTCAGATCCTTGCTTGGTACAAGCTCAAGTGATTTTGACGGGGCTACACTGCATTGTGCCCTCTGAGGACCTGAGCTGGTCTTTTTTAAGAAGCAAGTGAGTTACTGTTCTCTCCTGTGTCAAAGTCATTGAGGACTTTTCTAAAAATAGCGGCAGACTCCTCTCAGCATGTTTCTGGCATTTCATGTTTGATGCTCTCAAGTATGTGTTTCTGTCCTTGTTGGTTTGGTTTTGGTGTTGTTGTTTTGGTTTTTTTCCCCTACAAGAATGCAGTATGACATTATGTGCCATTTCTGGTTGTAGCAGTGTCCATAACCTGATTCCCTGCTCTGAGCTTCTGTTTCACTGTCACCTTTCTCTTTGCAGCGTTGTGTGCACTACAGTGCAGGTGCATTACTGTAGCCTTAATGTCTCTTGTGTAAATGAAAGACATTGTTGTCCAAGAAGTGTGGTGTTTGGGTGGG